GCCTAGCTCACAGCAACCTCAAACTCCTGGGCTCAAGTGATCCTCCTGCCTCAGCCTCCTGAGTAGCTGGGACTACAGGCATGTGCCACCATGCCCGGCTGATTTTTTCTATATATTTTTAGTTGGCCAATTAATTTCTTTCTATTTTTTTAGTAGAGACGGGGTCTTGCTATTGCTCGGGCTAGTTTCGAACTCCTGACCTTGAGTGATCCTTCTGCCTCAGCCTCCCAGAGTGCTAGGATTACAGGCGTGAGCCACTGCGCCCGGCCTATAAAAGATTTTCTTAAAAAACATCTACTGACAGCTCCAGACTTATTTTCTAACCAGCATAGCCACCCCCCGCAGGAGAATCTCTCTTTTCCAGTATTTCATCAAAAGCCCCACAAGGTTCTCACTGGGCTGCCTGAGGCAGGGTCAGCTCCACCAAACCCAATGGCTGAGAGAAGGGGAGGGATGGTCCTTTAAGGACAATGAATGTAGTATTGACAGAAGAAGAGGGAATAGATGCTGGGCCTACAGAACGCTTAGATGTCCACTATCACTTACTGGGGTGACCATATAACTTATTATTCAAAATAGGATTTGTCCATCAGGGAAATGCAAATCAAAACCACAATGAGATATCGCTTCACTCCAGTGAGAATGGCCTTTATCAAAAAGTCCCTAAACAATAAATGCTGGCGTGGATGCGGAGAGAGAGGAACACTCCTACACTGCTGGTGGGACTGCAAACTAGTTCAACCTCTGCAGAAAGCAATATGGAGATACCTCAAAGTGATACAAGTAGATCTACCATTTGATCCAGCAATTCCACTACTGGGCATCTACCCAAAAGATCAAAAGTCACTTTATGAAAAAGACACCTGCACTCAAATATTTATAGCAGCACAATCACAATTGCAAAGCTGTGGAAACAACCCAAGTGCCCATCAATTCATGAGTGGATTAATAAAATGTGGTATATGTATACCATGGAGTACTACTCAGCTTTAAGAAACAATGGTGATATAGCACCTCTTGTATTTTCCTGGATAGAGCTGGAACCCATTCTACTAAGTGAAGTATCTCAAGAATGGAAAAACCAGCACCACATGTACTCACCAGCAAATTGGTATTAAGGATCAACACCTAAGTGGACGTATAGGAGTAACATTTATCGAGTGTTGGCGGGAGGGGGAGGAGGGGATGGTACACAAACACAATGAGTGAGATGTGTGATGTTTGGGGAATGGACACACTTGAAGCTCTTATTCGAGGGGGAGGGGGGCACGGGCAGTATATGTAACCTTAACACTTGTACCCCCATAATATGCTAAAATAAAAAAAATACTCTGATGACCTCTGCTTCAGCTGTCAGTGACGCAAGCACAGGGAGCTTGAATAATTAAGTAAACTCCGTGAAAAAAGAGAAAAAAAATAAGATTTTTCTTTTTCTTTTTTTTGAGACAGAGTCTTGCTCTGTCACCTGGGCTAGAGTGCCATGGTGTCAGCCTAGCTCACAGCAACCTCAAACTCCTGGGCTCAAGCAATCCTCCTGCGTCAGCCTCCCGAGTAGCTGGGACTACTAATTATTTATATTTTTAGGAGAGACAGAGTCTCACTTTTGCTCAGGCTGGTCTTGAACTCCTGACCTCAAGCAGTCCTCCCGCCTCAGCCTCCCAGAGTGCTAGTACACTAGGGTCTTTTGAAAGTGAGAGAGGGCACTTTTAATAATTTAATAATTATTCCAGGACAACAGGCTTAGACAAAGACTGTCCTGGGAAAGTACTGTCACCCTAACAATAGCAGTCAAGAGCCAGGAAGCCAAGGGCTACCCCATCTGAGCCCTGGGTCCTGCAAATTAGGTCTGTCTGGCTCTCTGGGCACAGGCAGGAGAGGAGGGAAGTGTGCTTAGGGCTCAGATCTCCTGTGGGGTAGGGGGTGGCTGAGTGGGGTGAGGCCACATTGAAAGACAAGTCCCAGTTTTCCACATCCACCCACACTGCACTCTTCCTAGACTGTGTCGCCCTGGCCTCTGACTACCATCTTTTGTTCATGTCCTGCCCCCTCCCCATGCCAGGAATGCCCTTTCTATACTCATCAGACTCAATGACTCTTCTCTAGTTCATCACTCTCTGGAGAGCCCCTTTCACCAGCCTGCCCCCAGCTCCTTACAGCTCCCGTGGCATCTCCAGACAGCACAGGTCCTGTTTGGTGTGGCTCCCATCCCCATGGGGCAGGGGCTTGCTGTGAGTCTTGCTTATCTCCCCATCCCCTGTCACACAGCCCTCAGCAGTGCTGACTGATGGCTCCAGGGTGGATGACTGTGGGGTCAAGACCCTTAGCTATCTCCATGCCTCCAGCCCAGAGCCCTCTCCCCTCCCCAACCCCCACCCCGTTCTTGGTATCAGTCACTAGGGAATCCTAGCCAAAGAGCTTCTCACGCAAAGGCATGCAAACTTTGACCCAGGATTGAGTGTTCACTCCAGGCCAAGGTCCTGTAACCTCCTGCCTGTCTCCCTCCTTCTCTGCCTAGTGCTCTGTGCGGGCCCCCTTCCTGTCATTGTGGGCTGTTAGCCGAGATGGGCCTTGGCGATGAGAAGTGCAATACCTCCTGTAACCCCAGGGCACTAGGCCAGGGGTCTGGGGAGATGGGGGTCTTGGCCAGGGGTTGAGCCTTTCTACCTTTGGCCTTTTGGGACTTTGCAAATAGTCTGGGACAGTAAATCATAGTGGAAAGAGCCCCAGCCTGGAAGCAAAAGAGTTCTAGGCTCTGGTTTGATTTGCCATGTGTACTTGGGCCTTTTCTTTCTGGCATTAGTCTGTCCAGTAAAGAAGTGGGAGAGAAATTGGCTTTATTAGCTTATGAATTTCTTTGAGGTCAAGAGCCACTTACAGAACATGAGCAAAACAGTGCCCCTTCAGCCAAGGGAAGGGGCTTCCTGGGTCCCTGCTCAGGTCTCCCAGCCCTGATGACCAGGCTATCATGATTTTCCAGAGCTGGGGCATTGGAGGAGAGATTGGGCTACAGAGCGGGATGGGGGGATCTAGGAGTGCTTTGCTTCCCACTTCCTTGACATGGCTTCCACACCCACTTGTTATATTCTTTGTGGCCCTGGCTCCAACCAGGATTAAAGGACAGACCTCTCTTGGGTACCACGAAGCTCCTTAGGCTGAGCCAAAGACGTTGAAGGTGGGAAGATTGGAAAGATGCTGAGAGAGCTCAGCAATACCTCCCTGTCTCCTGCCTGTTCTGGTGCCTAAATTCCACCATCATAGCACCAGCACATTTGGTTCAACATCACTCTTGCCATTTGCCCCATCTATAGTACAGCTGTGTCTAAATCCCTTACCAGTTATTCATATCTTGCCAGGACTTGGCTTATCGGATTAACTTCCTGCAGCTTGGTCATCCGTGTTAGAGCATAGAGGAAGAAGTGGCAGATTGGGTCAGGGTCATGGTGAGGGGCAAATGTCCTGAGACTTGCCATGGAGAAGTGCTGTAAGCGGAGACCAGCAGAAATCTAACCCGCTGTGGAGGGGTGGGAAGGCAGCCCAGAGGAGGCAACATTTTATCTGAGACTCGAAGTAGGGGACGTTAGAAGTCAAGGCAGGCAGGCCTGGTGGGTTCCGTTAAGGATTCTGTTAGGAATTCTTGTTTCTATCTTCAGAGTGGCAGGAGCTACCAAAAGGGTTTAAGGAAGGTGGTGATGGAGTGAGATTTTGCGTTTTTGAAAAGACCACTCTGGGTGTGATGGGAGAAAGAATTGGTAGGAGCAAGAGAAAATGGGAACAGTTTGGAGGCCAGGAAGCAATGGCGGAGGGCCTGCACGGGGTGCAGCAGTGCCGTTGGACAGATGTCAAAGTGGGGAAATGAGCCTTTGTCCCTTCAGCCTGCCCTCAGCACAGCAGCTACAGCGATCGTGCCCGCTCAGACCCCAGCAATGCCTGTGTCACATGGGGAAAGTCCCATGTTTCTCAGTGTGGCAGGGATGCTCCCCATGGCATGCCACATCCACTCCAGGCCAGGAGAACTCCCCACTCACATGCCTCCCAACTTCCGGCGCCTCCATACTGCTCCCTTCCTCGCCAACCCCGGCAGGGCCTTTGGCCTTGTTCCCTCCGCAGGGCGCAGGTTCCGTCCAGCTACCTGTGGCTTGCGCTCTTGATGCCACGCTCCCTCCGACTCTGCTCTGTGCCACCTCCTGGAGGTCTTCCCCACCACCCTATTTTGAATTACAGTCTGCCCTCACATAATTTCCATTCCTTTTCTGCTTTATTTTTTCTATGGCATTTTTTACCCTGACACTCTGCATTTGGGGCCTGTTACCTGTATCCTTCTGCCACGCGTAAGCTCCAGGAAAGCAGGAGCGTTGTCGGTTTTGTTTCCCATTTTGTCAATCGCCAGAGCCTCAGAACAGCGCCCAGCACATAGTAGGCGCTTGGTAAATACTTGTAAATATTTGTAGTGCGCGAGGTGGCGTCTGACTGGAGTGGGAGGTGAGCGGGGCCACGAGGTTGTTTTCTGGCAGGGACCAGCAGATGGATGGGGGTGGTGCTATTTGCTGGGTTGGGGAGCACGACAGGGATGGGTAGTGGTGATGTTAGTTGGGGACAAGTTGCGCTAGAGTGACACTCAAGTACGACTTTTCTCCCTGGGCATTCTACATCGGGAGGGCTCGGCAGGGGCGGGGGCAGCGTCCCAGGCAGCCAGCCAGGCGTGCCGGGCGCCGCTGGGGCTGCGATGTCCTGCCACAGGCGTGGACCCAAAATGCGGACACGCACAGGCGCCTACTCCCCGCAGGGAGAAGCCGAGCTCCGCACGCAAACCTTGGCCCTTTGCACCGCAAACACCCCACCCAATTGCCTACCCGCGACGTTTCGGGGCTCTCTCCTTCCACTCCCACCTCGCGAGAGATTGGCCCTTTAAGAGCCCCACCCCCGAGTCCCCCTCCCCCCTCGCGTGACTGTGCCGAGACCCGCGCCGGGCTGGGGCGTTGGGCGGCTGGGTGGCTGCGCGGGCCTCCGGGCCCTTCTCACGCAACTCCTGGGCACCGCGCCCCGGGCCAGGTGGGGCGGGGATGGGCCGCCTGACCTCTGCCCCTGGAGGGATGTGGCAGAGGCACGTACGCTCGCCCGGGAGCCTCCGCGCCAGGCGCCCCCCGCGGTCCGCGGGGTCTCCCTCCAGCCCTTCCCTCGGCCACCCACTGCTGGCCGCGCGGCCCCCAGCCTCCGCATTGTCTCTGCCCTCCAACGCGAGCGCTTGCAATGCTGGGAGCCAAGAGGGGCCCTCAACGGCCGGTGGGTCCCCGCTGGAGGGGTCCGGGCTTGCAGCACGTCTAAGGGGACCCTGGAGGCCGCGCCGAGCCGCCAGCAAGTGCTTGGCGAGACTGCCCGTCCGCCATCCATTCCCGTCCCTCAAGCGAGAAGCGCGCCTGTGCTAGTCTCCGGGGCTCTGGGGCGACAGGGCCAGCCCAGCGGAGCCTCTGACCCTCCAGCCCCAGTGACCTCAGGGCCGGGGTCGCCGCGCTTCTCACGCGAGCAGAACGGGGACTCAGACCTAGGGGAAGGTCACAGCCGGCAGCCGCGCCCCTGCCTGCCTGGCCCCGGTTAGCTAGCAGTGAGGGGTAGGCATTTGCACGCCTGATGTTCCATGGGGTGCAAAAATGATGAAGAGGAGTCCCCGTGCCCCAGGATCGATAGCCCTTCTCTTCGGGCTGTCGTGGGACTTCTCCCTCAAACCTCCACCTTGGCTGGGTTCTGCGCTGCCCATGTGGTGCCTTAGAACTAGGAGTCCCAGGTGTCCCCAGCCCTCACCCCTTTACATGCTGGCACCTGGATGAGTTCTTGTCCCCCCCCCCAGTCCCCCTCATATCCTGGAGCAATCAGCCCTCCTCAGGCTGCCCCTCCCTCTGTCTCATCAGGGAAGGAGGCGTGGCCACATGCACGAGCCTGCCTATAAAGGTGACAGTGCCTTCACCCTCACCCTGAAGGTGACAGTTCCTAGGAGCCTTCTCTGATCCTCCTTGGGGGTCCCTGGCTCCACAGTCCAGTCTTCCCAGGTCAGCTCAGCACCTTCTCACAGCCACAGGTGAGTGCTGGGGGCCTTCTGGCTTGCCTCTTCCCTCCCAATAAAAAGAAAATTTTGGTGCCTCCAGGTCTTCCTAGGTAGCCACTGGTCTAGCACCTCTGTAAAAGGAGGCTAGGTAAGAATGTCCTGAGTGACCACTCAGTCTAGCCCCCTAGAGGGGAAACTAAGGCCAGGGGAAGAGCAGGACTTGGCCATAGTCACACAGCTAGTACCAGACCTCTAGATGTAGGTGGCCTCCCATTCGGGACTTCAGGACTCAGGCTCTGGCTTTATCCCTCACTTACTCCCAGACCACTCAGGGCTTCTCCATCAGGGTTACCTGGGGGGCTGGAATAGGCACACAGTTGAGGGAAGCGGGAAGCCTGTGCAGCCCTCCCTCAGGCTACGTGATGACAGGGGCTTCTCCCCGGGTGGGGCAGGGTAGATGGAGGGAGCAGGCTAGGTTCTTACCAGCTGTACCCCACCCTATCTAAAAGCTACCCTGGCAGGCTCTACCCTCCCAAGGGATGGCTTGGCAGAGCTGAGATGTCCTGCCTGACCCAGACAGGAGAGGCTAATCTGAGTAGGAGTCTCAGGGGCCTTTCCTATCCCATTGGCTGTCTTCTCTGTCCTCTGCTGGGAAGCAATCAGTGTGACAGATTGCCAACTGTAGGGAGCTGGAAACACTGGTCCCTGAAAACTCACCAGTCACATCTCCCTTGGCCTCCTACCACCTCACAAAGGATAGAGGTCCTGGTACCTATTGTGAAGAAAGGGACACTGATACACCGTGGGCTGGCAGTGAAGTAGGGGTCTAGTGTGTTTGGGATTCAGCTTTCCAGGAAGCCTCCCTACACTCTGAGGCTGTAATGCTTGGGCAGGACCACATAGCTGCCTGCCTTGTGTGTTTCTCCTGTGGGCAAGACTGTGGTTCCCCAGAGCAGATCTGGGTCTCTGCTTCCCTAGGATCCCATTGGGCTCTCTGAATTGGGAGATTTTGTCACCCCCCCCTCACCTGTTATAATTGAAGCCCACAAAGGTAAAATGACCAGTCCAAGGCCACTTGGGCTGGAATACTGCGTCTCCTGACCTTCAGTCCCAGCACCAGGCATATGCCCCAGGCAGAGCCTGATGCCTCAGAGAGAGTGGCCTGTGCATTTGCACAGCCCTTCTAGACCAAGCCTAGAGAGAAAGCATCGTTTCAGCTTCTGTTAAGTTCAGCTCCATTCCTGATTTCCACTATTCCAGTCTGGAGCTTTTTTACAGCCTAGTGGGAGCCTTCCAAATATCCTTGGCTCTCAGGTGACACAAAAAAGGGGAAGGCCCAGACTTCATTCATTGAGAATTGAGCCCAAAGAAAACCTTGGCCTGGAATTCTGTGGCTGGGAGCTCAATCTCACTGATCTCCAGCTGCTTTAAGCTGTGGGCCAGTTGAACTCAGAGAGCTGGGGCTGAGAGCAGTGTGGCTTGGGCAGTGGGTTTTCTGTCCCCTGTCCCCTCCTCACCCTGTCCTGGGGTCTGGCAGGATTTCCCAGATCCTGGGATAGAGTGGTAGAGAACTGAGCATTCTGGAAAAATTCCTTCATTGACCTGATCACTCTTCAAAGGGAGGTACCCGTGACAGCAGATGGAAACTTCCCAGGAGCTGTCTGTCCCTAGGGGCCTGAGTCTTGGCTCTGTCACTGATTGCTGGGTGAATTTGGGCAAATCAGTGAGTACCTATTCCGGAGGTCAATTTCCCCAGATGTGAAATGAGGCCAAAGGAGTAAATAATCCCTAGTTCCTCTGATAGTATGGTTTTCCTAGGTGTGGTAGGTAGGACTCAAAGGGATCTGGGGTGATAAATGTTGATTATGTGTCTATTTTCATGTGTTAGGGAAACAAGTCAAAGCTGTATTTTCACATGGATATTGTTTAGGATGATGCTATGTGGGTGGATTTAAGGTTGGTTTTAGGCACATGTGAAGTAATAGTAGTGGGCCATATGGAAATCACAGACTGGTTTGCAAGATGCCATGTCAGATTGGTACAGGTAAGAGAAAGTGTCCTAGAATTAGGCAACTTGGGTTGGGGGTCTGTACCCAACACTACCTGGCTGTGTGACCCTGGGCAAGTTACTTATCCTGCGCCTCACTGCAGTCTCTCTCATAGATTTGTGGCCAGGATTGAAGAATGACTGTGAAATTCTTGGCACACAGTGGCAAGTTAACAAACACGTCTTCCACCTCCTCTTCCTCTTCGTGTCTAGGCAGCAGTTCGGGGTGGAAAGGCTTCCCTTTCCCTGACAAGCGTGATGACACTAGGGTGTTGGCTCCTCCAAACCTCCATCTGATGGCTTGGCTTTTCCTCCTGTCCCATCTCTCAGCAGTCCCCTCCAAGATCCCTGCGCTGATCATGCTTTCTGAACTTGGACTCCCACTCCACATCTCAGCCACGGAGCTTCTCCTGGTGTCTGCCGTCTTCTGCCTGGTATTCTGGGTGGTCAGGGCCTCAAGGCCTCGGGTCCCCAAGGGTCTGAAGAGCCCACCCGGGCCATGGGGCTGGCCCCTGATTGGGCACGTGCTGACCCTGGGGAAGAACCCGCACCTGGCACTGGCCAAGATGAGCCAGCAGTACGGGGACGTGCTGCAGATCCGCATTGGCTCCACGCCTGTGCTGGTGCTGAGCGGCCTGGACACCATCCGGCAGGCCCTGGTGCGGCAGGGTGACCACTTCAAGGGCCGGCCCGACTTCTACAGCTTCACCCTGGTCACTGATGGCCAGAGCATGACCTTCAGCCCAGACTCCGGACCGGTGTGGGCTGCCCGCCGGCGCCTGGCCCACAATGCCCTCAAAGCCTTCTCCATCGCCTCCGACCCGTCTTCCTCGTTCTCCTGCTACCTGGAGGAGCACGTGAGCAAAGAGGCTGAAGCCCTAATCAGCAAGTTGCAGGAGCTGATGGCAGGGGCTGGGCACTTTGACCCCTACAGGTATGTGGTTGTGTCAGTGGCCAATGTGATCTGTGCTATATGCTTTGGCCAGCGCTATGACCATGACAACCAAGAACTGCTTAGCCTGGTCAACCTGAATAATGAGTTTGGGGAGATGGTGGCCTCAGGAAACCCAGCTGACTTCATCCCCATCCTCCGCTACCTGCCCAACCCTGCCCTGGATGCCTTCAAGGATCTGAATAAGAAGTTCTACAGCTTCATGCAGAAGATGGTCAAGGAGCACTATAAAATATTTGAGAAGGTACAGGCTGGGGAGAGGTAGGTGGTGGTGAAAGCAGGTAGGGTCAGGGGCTGTGAGGTCAGAGATAAGGGACAGCATGTGGTCTGGCAAATTCTCAGGAAGGCTTCACCCAGTTGTGGAGTGGACTCCACCCTTGGCAGGGAAGCAGAGCTCCTCTGCAGTGTCCCTTCTCCACTTCTGTCTGACAGCAATGGCTGCTGCACACCCTCACATGCAAGACCCGGGGCTGCTTTTTAGAGGACCAGGAAGAGTTAGAGAGTTTGTCTCCTAGCCACATGGTAGAAAAAAGTTAAAGAACACATCCAGATGGTCACAGTACCAGACTCTGTGTGTCAGGTGTCCCTTGAGATGAGGCTAACAGTATTCTAAGGTAAGAGAGCTTTGGGGAGGAGAGAGAAGCTGGGATGACAGCCTCAGGGGATGTCATCTCTTGATCAAAGGTGCTAGGGGTCGTGGAGCCAGGCGCAGATGGAGAGGTAGGTCTGAGTTTGGTATCTTGGTCACTTGTGGACCTTCCTTACTTAGGGCCATATCCGGGACATCACAGACAGCCTGATTGAGCACTGTCAGGATAGGAAGCTGGATGAGAATGCCAACATTCAGCTGTCCGATGAGAAGATCATTAATGTTGTCTCGGATATCTTTGGAGCCGGTATGAATTATCCCATTGTGCCCTTCCTGTACCCAAGTGCCCTGACCCACCACCTGCCTAAATTCTCCCTTTGTTCTACCTTGTCCAGGGTTTGACACAGTCACAACTGCCATCTCCTGGAGCTTAATGTACTTGGTGACAAACCCCAGGATACAGAAAAAGATCCAGGAGGAGCTAGGTAGGTGGTGGCTCCCTTCAAAAGGGTCAAGGTCAGAAGCCTGGCCAAGGTCTAGGCAGCCCCTTAACCAATCTGGTCCTTTGTATTCTGCAGACACGGTGATCGGCAGGGCGCGGCGGCCCCGGCTGTCTGACAGGCCCCAGCTGCCCTACATGGAGGCCTTCATCCTGGAGACCTTCCGACACTCCTCCTTCGTCCCTTTCACCATCCCCCACAGGTAAAGCCCTATAGATCCGCTGCTTCCAACACGTGCCTTACTCCCGTCCACATACCTGATTAGGGCAGTGGGAGAGACATGGCATGTGAGCCTGACTGAGCTTCCTTCCTCCCCAGCACCACGAGAGACACAAGTCTGAATGGCTTTTACATCCCCAAGGGGCACTGTGTCTTTGTGAACCAGTGGCAGATCAACCATGACCAGTAAGTCGAGATGGGCAGGGGAAAGGCTGGGCCTTTCCTCTCCTGGGGTTCAGACCCTCCTGTCTGTGGGCTCCCTGCCCACTCCCCATCCTTTGGGGCTGGGGCTCAATCCACTTGATGCTTCTGAGCCCCCAGCCTGCCAATTCAGCTGCCTCCCTCTGGTTACAGGAAGCTGTGGGGTGACCCATTCGAGTTCCGTCCCGAGCGTTTTCTCACCCCTGATGGCATTATTAACAAGGCGCTGAGTGAGAAGATGATTCTCTTTGGCTTGGGCAAGCGGAAGTGCATTGGGGAGACCATCGGCCGCTTGGAGGTCTTTCTTTTCCTGGCCACCCTGCTGCAGCAGGTGGAATTCAGCGTGTTGCCAGGCATGAAGGTGGACATGACCCCCATCTATGGACTGACCATGAAGCATGCCCGTTGTGAGCACTTCCAAGTGCAGATGCGGTGTTAGGGGCCCGAGAACCCTGAAGCCCAGACTCTGCCTACCTGGCCTGCCTGGGCAGCCTGACCAGGGGGCTGGCCCGGGAGTGTCTAAGCTTCAGCCTGAAACTCACAGAGACTGGCTTGGCTGTTTTTGCTTTCAGAGCTGTGGGCAAGCCTGAGGGATCAGGCCTGCCCCTAGCCTGGACTTGTCCCTCTCCATATCCACCAAGACAGTGAACACAGCAGGAGCCGATGAAGCCTTCTGATGTTGTGCTTGAGCTAGGGGGCCTGGCAGGGTGAAGGAGGCCTCTGAGAACCTCTGAAGAGCTCTCCAGAAGCCCCTTGGCCCCGCAGCTGGCTGGCTCTATGGGGTGTTGACTGGTTTGAGAAACAGAGCACGCCACACCAAGACCTCTTTGACAATTGGGAGCCACCAAGACTGGAGAGAAAAGACAACTCAGGATACTGGCACAGAGGTAGCCTCACTGCTTGAACAACGCTGAGCAATCTGACCCCATGGATCTGGGGATCGTGCCTGGGGGAATCGCCTTCCTCTGCCCTCCCTGCAGGCAGGAACAAATGGGCTGCCTCTTGGCCTTATAAAGGCCCGTTTCTGTCCAGGAGGGGCTGAGGACTTGTGTCTAAGAGGAGCAGGAAGCAGACGGAGTGCACATTTCTGGGCACCAAGATGAGGGTCGTGGGGCTGGTGGTATTTCAATCACCTTCTGCCTGTTTCCCTTCCCTACACCCTGTATGAGTATGTCTGTTTTTAATGTTTGTAATCACCAGCCTTTTTATTCTAGTCTGTATTGTGTTTGCATGTTTGCATTTATCATATATAAGGGCTTAAGAACCATTGATTTAATGCAATAGAGAAAATTCTAACCCAAGTATCCAAAAATGTGGAGGAACATCTACTTGAGCTAAATAAAGATATTCTCTTAAAGTCCTATAGGTGGAGATTTTTTGGATCTTAAATGAAGATATCACTCATCTACATAGTCTCCCTGAGCCCCACCTATGTTGGGTTTCACGGGGGGGAGGGAGCAGTGAAGAGGCAAAGCTACCGCTCTCAGGCATTCTGTTCACGGGAGACAAGACTCTCATCACTTCACTGACTTTTCCCTCTCTAACTTATCACACATTGATGAAGAGTATTCTCAAAACCAGGCACTGGGGTATAAAATAAATAAAACATGGTCCCTGCTTTCAAAAGCCTCCCAAACTGGTTGAGGGAACTGTCACTTAAACACATCATTCAATTCATTGTGATCAGGGCTCTACCACACAGATACACATAGAAGGGTGGGCTGGGTGGGTGAGCGGGCTCTGGGAGAAGTTCTCAGGTCTTGGGGATATCTGAGCCAATCCTTCCATGCAGGACAAGGGACAGTCATACCTGAGACTCGCAGCATTAGATGCTGAAGCCCAAGGGGGTACGCTCTGGCCAGAGTTCTGGGGGCAGAATGGTTCTCAGCATGGAGATTGAAATCTGTCCCTCCCTATTCATGCCCCGGTTCAGGCACTGCAGCCATAGAACCGAAGGCTGATCACTGATGGAGAACAAGGCCTTTGCAAGCAGACTCTGGCCCAGATTTCAACGCTGAAAGCCCCTGTCCACGTGGGACGGCAGAGTGATGGTGTCAAGTCCGGGCAGAGGCTGGACCCACACAGCCTCTGCTGCTCTAAGGGGCTGACGGGAGACACATCTTGGGGTGTGAGCCCCCTTTCCCCACACCAGCCCAGCTTTCTTCCTGAAGCGCTGTGCCGAGGCCAGCAGTGGCCATGCGTGCGCTGTGCTTGCCAGCAGGGTTAGACGGCTCTCACTCAACAAGAGGTTCAGGCCACGGCAAGGAACAAGCAAGCTGCAGTCAGCTGGAGAAACTTGCTTGGTGTGGGAGGATGAGAAATTTGGTGCCTAATCATTCTCATATTGGTTTATTTTCTACTTAAAAAGACAACTCGTATTATATGCTATAACACAGACAAGCCTTGAAAACATGCAAAGTGAAAGAAGCCAGACACGGAAGGCCATATATTGTGTGATTCCACTCATACGAAATATCCAGAAGGGGCAGATTTCCAGAAGCAGAAAGTAGATCAGCAGTTGCCAGGGAATAGGGGGCAAGGCAAATGGGAAGTGTAGGTTTATTCCAGAGATGATGGAAACATTCCAGAACTAGGCAGTGGTGATGGTTGTACAACTTTGTTAATATACTAAAACCCAATGAATCATGCAGTTTAAAATGGTAGAAAAAAATGTTTGCCAATCTTTGTTCTAAAAAAAATGTGAGGTCACGCCTGTAATCCTAGCACTCTGGGAGGATCACTCAAGGTCAGGATCGCTCAAGGTCAAGGTTCAAAACCAGCATGAGCAAGAGCAAGACCCCGTCTCTACAAAAAATAGAAAAAATTAGCCAGGCGTCGTGGTGCACACCTGTAGTCCCAGCTACTCAGGAGGCTGAGGCAGGAGGATCACTTGAGCCCAGGAGTTTGAGGTTGCCATGAGCTATGATGACACCACTGCACTCTAGTCTCGCTGTCTCAAGGAAAAAAAATGAGGATATTCTAATTCATCATTCCCTTTTTCCTTGAGAGCCAGGATTTTTGGTATGGAAAAAAAGTAGATACAGATGTCATATAGAAATGGTTAAGTTTTTAAAAACATATCACATACTTGTATCTGTTATCTATGTATCTAATCTTTGTTTCTTTCTTTCTTTCAAGTGCTGGAACCAATGACCAGCTCACAGCAATGAGCATCCTAGTTCCCTAATCACAGATTATGATCCAGGGCAGCTTCTTGGAGGAACAGCTATTTACAAATCTGGGACAAGGAATGTAAAAGACAAGCCCGGAGCGCTTGGTCATACCAATTAGAAAGGATGCTACAAAGACTACCAGAGCTTGATCAAGCCTTTCTGGAGCCAACTTGAAGAGACTCCAACTCTTGGAGACAGGACAATTTAAGTGTCAACAATAATAATAGGCTGGGCGTGGTGACTCTGTCTCAAATAATAATAATAATAATAATTGCCATGGATTAAAATCCATCAAATATGTTTGAATCCATGAGTTCATACTTTTTTTAAAAAGAGAGCTGGTTCTTCAGAGGAACCAGCTTACTAACTTCAAAAGTGAAAATCCAAGGTCAAGAATCAAGTATGTCTCCCACCTTTGCTATATGAACTATACCTTTGAATTACCAAATAGTAGATTAGAACAAGAATCCCTTAATAAAAGTATTCCAACTAATAAACGAAAAAGAAATAATAGAATTAGAGTGTCACTATTTGGCAGCCACCAATAAATTAATAAATCTGGGCATTGTGTCCAGCAACTACTAACATCATAAAAAGAGAGGAAGCCAGACATGGTGTGACTACCAAAGAAAGAACACAACAGCATCTGTAATGTTGTCAAAGGGGCTGAACCAGAGTCGGACCAAGCCTCTGGATCCAGCTGCCAATTTGCAACAAATGCAGAGGGTGAAGGCACATGTTGAGCTACAAAGTGAGCATGCAGTCAGTAAAATTCAGACGTTGGGAGACTCTGTAGGTCTGTGGGCCTTCTCCAACAGAAAAAGTGCAAGGGAAAGAAAGGGATGGAGGGGAAACCTGTAGATGAACAGAGACTTAAAAGACACGTCAAATGTTAAGAGATGAACAATTCTGAACTGTAGTGTCTAGGGACACACGCTTGGTGATAAAACTATAAAGAGCAGCAAAATGATTGCTATAAGAGCTTGGAGAGTGGTTAATTTTGGGGGGAAGGAGTGAGTTATAGTTAACATGAGACATGTGGAGGGCTTCTGGCATGGTTGATAAAATTCCATTTCTTGACCTGGTTGTGTTTACAAGGATTTTTGCTCTTCAAAAATGAAGAAAAACATACAAATAGCTTTTATTTCTTTTTGTTTTTTAGATATATATAATTAATATACGTTGTCAATGCCCTTCAGCCAAAGACTACAGGGAGAACACCTGTAGTTAGACAAGGTGGATTTATTACTCATTGCAGTGGGGAACCATGAGGCTCAATGAGAGGGTGTTAGAATTACCAATTGTGGCATTTGGGCTTTGGTTGCATGATTTGGGAGAAGGTCTAAGGTAGCTGGGGTTAGCTCTAGGTTGGATACTATCAGAAAGTAGGGATAATTCTATGATTGGGTAATCGTTGAGTAGCACACGGTACTTGATTTTATCTGTGCTTAGGCAGAATTATGAAGTGGCCTTGTTTTGTTTCATTTTATCATGGTTGCAAAGTAACCATATCTGATCATGATGTTCTGGGAGAAGAGAACTGGAGGACAGGAGAACAGAATGGCCAGTGAACACCAGAACAGCTTATAATAACACATGGACAACAGAATAGCTCTAGCTGTCAGGGGCTGTTCTTTCTCAGGTCTCCTTTTTGGTCAAGGACAAAGTTAAATCTCAGGATGTTACTGCATTATACCCGGATATCCATCCTTGCCAAGATCTTGCTGATTAAGATCAATTTGTTGATCAAGAAGAGCACCCACTGAACGTAGTCTGGAATTGAACTAGAGTTCATCTTTTCTTCTGTTGTAGGATGAGTTACTGGACCATCTGATGTGGCAATGGCTGTGCAGTAGCACTTAAGATTCCACACAGGCTGCATCAGCCAGTTGTAACACAGGCAATTATCAGAATAAAAATAACTCTTAGTCCTTGTAATAGGGCTGGAAGCCAAGGGCCTAAATTATGAAATTCAGGCAATGAAAACATGTTCCAGAATCTGTTTTAGGGAGTCAGGTGGCTTTTACTGTTTGTCCTATAGTATTTATATAGGTATAGCAAATAGCATTTGCCATAGCACAAATTTTCCCTTAGTTGGCCAAGAAGAAAATCAAGGGCTATGTGATTGACTGTCCATGACAACTCTAGTTAATGAAGTTAGACTAGTTTTTTGCGTTTTCTGAGCAGAAGTGGTGTCATATATCACTTCTGGTAGGTCAGACACAAGCTTTGAACTTTTTCTAGTTGTTCTATTCCAACTGAGGGAATTGTAGCTGGCAGAATACACATGAAGAGGGAATAAGTTATCCTTTCTGAAAGTTCTGAATAATCTGTGCTTGCCTCATTTTGGAGGCTGCTGAGTGTCTTTTACAGGAAGTATGATGTATTTATATTTTAGTGTCCTTAAAAAGAAACATTCATCCATTGCAGTGAAATTATAAAATGATGCATCTGCTTTGGAAAAGTCTACAGTTCCGCAAAAGGTTAAACATACAGTTACCATAAGACTCAGCAATTCCACTCCTAGGTATATACCAGAAAAAAATAAAAACATGTTCACACAAAAATATGCTCATGAATGTTCATAACAGTGTTATTCATAATAAAAATCCTTGTAAACACAACCAGGTCAAGAAATGGAATTTTATCAACCATGCCAGAAGCCCTCCACATGTCTCATGTTAACTATAACTCACTCCTTCCCCCCAAAATTAACCACTCTCCAAGCTCTTATAGCAATCATTTCGCTGCTCTTTATAGTTTTATCACCAAGCGTGTGTCCCTAGACACTACAGTTCAGAATTGTTCATCTCTTAACATTTGACGTGTCTTTTAAGTCTCTGTTCATCTACAGGTTTCCCCTCCATCCCTTTCTTTCCCTTGCACTTTTTCTGTTGGAGAAGGCCCACAGACCTACAGAGTCTCCCAACGTCTGAATTTTACTGACTGCATGCTCACTTTGTAGCTCAACATGTGCCTTCACCCTCTGCATTTGTTGCAAATTGGCAGCTGGATCCAGAGGCTTGGTCCGACTCTGGTTCAGCCCCTTTGACAACATTACAGATGCTGTTGTGTTCTTTCTTTGGCAGTCACACCATGTCTGGCTTCCTCTCTTTTTATGATGTTAGTAGTTGCTGGACACAATGCCCAGATTTATTAATTTATTGGTGGCTGCCAAATAGTGACAC